TCAAAACCAAACTGCAGGAGCCATCGCACTAAGATGAGCAATAAGAATGCCACTCCAGGGGTGGTATTCTGACTTCTTCCTTTTATAGACCATATAGTTCTTAGGCGTTTCTCCTTCACTTGTTTTGCAGCTGCTGCTCTAGAGATAAGGTTCTGAGTTTTTGGGTGCATCCATGGACCTTGGACCTCAGCAGCATTCTGCCCGCATACCTACTGCTTTCTCTAGTCCAGCAGGTTTTTTTCAGACCAGTTTATTAATGGTCAATATCTTGCCATAATACGTTTGTACTGTTGAAGAAGGGATTTAGTAGTGCTGCCTATGTGTCTCTCTATCCTCTGTACTCAAGGTCAAGTGAAGAACCATGTTTGAGTGAATTTTCACTTGGGTTTATTGGGAGTTTCCCATTTCATATGTACATTTTGATGCAGTTTGTGTTGGAGGATAGCAGCAGGGTGTTTTCCTCTTTGTATTAAGGCCAGTAAATCTAACACCAGGCATTTCTAACACTAGACAAATTCCATGCTTTGTCCATAGGACAGCAGATTCCATAGTCTGCTTCTGACCTGGATTCTTGCACTTTGTGATTTCAGGGATCTGCAATATGGGCTAAGTTAGTCTGCACCTTTCCTCTTGCTGGGGTTACAAGAGCTGTAATGGGGAAGGAAAAGTGCAATATGGGCTGTGAAGGGAATAACATGTTTCAATGAAAGATTTTTTTTTCCTTTTTTACGAGTGAAATAAAACTGTTTTGTTTTAAGAAAATTGCACTCAAAGCCTGGTAGAACTTACAGAGCTGAATTCTATTAATTAAATAAACTGACTTGTATTTACCACAGCCAAATATCACTTCAAAACATGCAGCATGTGTGCGCTCCTATCTACATGTCTGTGTTCAGGTTGGTTAGACCAGGGGTTGTCAGCCGCGGGTATGCTAACCCCCCCTCAGGATACTTGGGAAGGTCCCAGGGGATATGCATGGGTGGGTGGGGACAGAGCGCTGTCACCCACTGCCCCACGTTGCCGCCTCCCAGGAGCAGGGTCGGGCGAGGGCAGCGGCATCCCTCTGTGGGCCACACAGCCCCTGGCCAGATGTGGGGGGCCACTACCCACCACTCTGTGCTGCCACCTCTCCATATCCAGCCACACGCAACTCCCACCCCAGCTGCCAGGGGTACACCTATTAAAAAAGGTTGAAAACTCTTGGGTTGGACTAATTCAGGAGCCTGAACTCTGCAATAAAACCAGCTGTTTATGCTACAACTAGCTGCACTGTCTGCTATAGATTGCACTATTGCTAATCTCTGTGTTTTTAATTAGCACGCATGTTGCTGTAGCCTCCTCATGTTATGAACTGTACAAATGGATACAAGGCTTATGCTGGTGTTAATGGAGGAGTTGTACTACCTGGTGCTGCTTGAGGGGGGGATACTGGACTCCACACTATAAGATCTGGATAGCAATTTCTGCCTTCCTCAAGAGCTGGTCCTTCCCTCAGAGTTAACTGTGACATTACTGTAGCATCAAACACTTGTCTCTTCTTGTACTGTGTATTCCTGTACTCCTTTTTCTGGTTTATAACCTACCTTCTTCCCAGGTTGGCTACCACAGAACCTAGACAATCTTCAAAGCACTGCCAAAGTCCCCTGTTCATACAACAAATGCTTTAGGCTTCTGACATATTACTCAAATTTCTAGATGTGTCACTCAGACTGCAGTCTGCCCTTCACACCTGGGCTCCTCTAGAACAGGTAGCACGCAGCGAGTCACATCCCTTCACCTTTGTGGAGGGAAAACTTCCAGGTCCTGAAGCAAATATAACCTCAGCAGAGATGCTTGCCTGAGTTAGTAGGGAGCCTGAAACAATCCTTCAGAGGCCCAGGCTGAACTTCAACTGGGGTTGAACATGGGTACATGTTCAACCCCAGTTGAACATGTACCCATGTACGTGAACTGGCAGATGGTTAACCAGGAACAGAAGAAAGGAAAGAGGGATTTCCTTGAAGAATTGCACTTTGCTGTGTGGTCATGAGAAATGTCTTCCCTAAGTAGGGTTCAGCTTAAAAATCTGGGAACCTCTACCTTGGCCTTCCCCAGCCTGTTATGCAGCCCGAGCAGCCCAGTGATGCCAGGTGAATGTGGGCACTGGGAAGGGGAGTCATGGCTGGGGGGCATGATCAGTGTACCTGACAACAAGTAATTGCACCTGGAAACAAGCTCTGATATTCCAGTGGCTGTGTGTGAAGGGGGTGGTGGGAAGCCAGGGGAAGTGAATTGAGGATAGTGGACCGATAAATGTGTCGGAGCAGGGAAGGGATCAAATGCCAGGTGTCAGAAATACAGAGGCAAACTCTTCCTAGCATTTTGGGTTTACCTGGTGTCAATAACTGCCTACATGCCAAGCCCAATCCTCCATCATGGGCAGTAGGTGGGGAAGGGCTTGCCAGGGCCACCTAGTCCTATCCCCACCCCCTCCATGGGCACAGGATTTGCTGTTCCTAAACCTCTCCAGACAGGCGCCCACCCAGCCCTGTCCTGGACACCCAGTGGTAGGAGTTTCTGCTGCTCTCACGGGCAGGAAGCTTTTCCCTGAGACTTGATTTTAAGCCTGCCTTGCTGTAGCTCCTCTCAGATGGGCTTTTACCAGCTCTCGGAGCCGTTCTGGTACATTTTTCCCCATCACTTTGTGCTTGCGTAAAGCTCCAGCTTGCACCCCGACGTCCTGCGTGGCCTAAAATCATCTTCAATAGAGTGAGGCTCCTGATTTCTTTAGTGGTGGGGCTGTCCTTTGTTTTAGGGCCATTCAGCTTTTTAGCTGGTTGGAGTGTGTAGCCGCGGGCTGTTCTGGATGCTCCCTGCAGGCTCTGGGGTTTCCAGCAGTGGGTAGGAGCAGATGTAAGTAGTCTATGCCAGCCTAGCTCAGTGCTGACTATCTAGCAGCCTGGGAGCCTTGCCTCTCAGCTCAGATGCATTTGACTGCCAGAGCCATTGGTTTTGGGTTCAGTCCTTGCTTAAAAGAAAAAAAAAATCTTTTTTACCCATTTCACTAGAATTCACAAGGAGCCTTTTGACTGATTTTGCTTTTCTTTTTTTTCCACCTATTTTCCCTGTCCCCTACCCCCTTGAAGGGTGTGTGTGTGTGTGTGTGAGAGCAAGGGGGTGGGGGGTTATAGATTACTCACTGCCTATAGCGAAAACACAGTAATCTTATTTCCTGAATGAACATCAGCAAACCCTTTTTCATCCAGACCCATTGAACAGCAAACAACACTGCTGATTTCAAAGCCCTGATATCCTGGTCACATTCCTGAACTCCGTGGCTGTAAGATTGTGGCAGAAGCATTAGATGTTCCTAAACGGTATTTAAAAACCCTGGCTTTCAGTCTTATTTAGGGGCTTGAGCCTGAAAAGAGTGACTTGTCCTCTGCAGCTAGTTAAGCAGACTAGCTGCAGCCCTAGTCAGTGCAGCATTGTGAATCCCAGTTATGAAAATCATGATTTAAAAAAAAAAAAAAAAAATCTTACTTAGCTAGTTTGAATCCTTTTCTCTGCGCCTAAATTCACAGTATAGAAGGGCTGGCAGGGACCTTGTGAGGTCTCATCTAGTCCAGCATCCCCCCCTTCCCTCCCCAAGGCAGGCTCATTCAAGACTTAAACCATCTCAGTCAAGTGTCTGTCTTGCTGCCTCTGTAGCTCCAGGGATAGATTCCCCTGTTCTGAGGCCAAATCACCCTCAAAGTGGGAACGTGCTTCCTGACAGCACAGAGCGCTGTCTCCAGTACAGCGTTTCTTCTTCAAAATGGAAACCGAGATTCTCCCCTCTAATCACTTGCCTTTGCCAGCTGGGGCTTGAAGCAAAATGCCACCCCTTAATGGGACTTGCAGAACCACGGCAACACCCTCCAGTAAAGTGTTCCCACCAAAGTTTAAGCACGCATCTACATTGGAGTAATTAAGATTAATTTTGCAAGGTAGTTTAAAACTAAATCAACAGATTCTTTTTTTTTCCTCTGCCCACCCCCACCTCCAATTCACAGTTGCTTTTAGAAGACAGATGGGTTATTTTTAATGCTTAAATCAGGAACTGAGCCGTTCTGGTTGGTTTATGGTTTGTTTGTTTTTTTAATTAAAAGTTTTATTTGTGTCGTTTCGCTTCCTCATCAAATCACCCAGATACGATAAGACATTCAACAACGATTACATCCACGGGTGGAAATGAATACAAATCAAACAAATTCCACAAAGGTGTCTTTTTAATTTTTTTTTTCTTTAATAGGAAAAGCATTCTACCTTTAGTGCGGAAAAATGAGAGTGTCTGTTTTGGGGGGGGGGGCCAAGAGAAGGGCCAGAGGTCTTTCACAGAAAGTCGGGGGGTATGTGTAGTGGCTACAAATTCTCCCACACTTTGAATCAGGATTGTGTGATCAACATTTTTTTTAAACCCTATTTTACATATACAAACTAGTACAGCTTCCTTGTTTGCGGGTGGGTTCCTCTTCCCCCATTTCCCTTCCAGTCCTACAAGGATCCCGAAGAGGCCGGGGATAGAGTTAGAGAGGTTTAGGGGTCAATTCACTTGCCTAGTTTTGGAAAGGAAATGTTAGGAGAAACTTTGAGCGGCTGTCACCCAAGTCTTTCCTCTTGCCAAAGGTTTCCTGTGCATCTCGGGCGCCCTCCAGCCGTTGACATATCAATTCATAAGACTTGGGGAAGATGAGATGCCACACAGAGCAGCTCTTGTGCTTGATCTCCAACCTCCACCCTGCCCCCAACCTTGCATTACTACCTGGCTCATCCTCCTCAATTATTCCAACTATGTCAGTCACAGAAGAGAGAGAGCAAGTGAGCGAAGACCCAGCAGTACCTCGATCAGGCCTGTTACCGCGCCGGCGGGGAGGAGCGGCTGGAATGGAAATCATGATTCCCTTCCTAGAAATCTCAAGGCACCTGTGTTTTCTGCTCCTGTCGTTTCAAGATGTGTTTCAATTTTTTTTCCTTTTTAATTTTTTTTTTTTTTTTTTTAGTGTGAGGTAGCTTAAAACCAGGAAAGCTTGAGATTTGACCCTAAAACTTCCTTTATTTTAGTCATGGGGGGAGGGAAAGCAGTCAAATAACAAGTTCTCAAATGGAGAAGGAAGACAAAGGCCAAGACAAAAAAATAAAACAAAGCTCAGATCGACTTGTACTTTCCAACAAAGTTTTTTTTTTTTTTTATATATCAATTGATGTTAAAAAATACAGACGTGTTTTACAAGAATAGCACCATTTTTGTTGTTGTTGTATTATATATAGTACTCCTGCTGAGATATACACGGGGAAGGGAGGGGAGGGGAGCGGGATTATTTATACCTGTATCTTACTTGGGATGTCCGTTTTGTGGGAAGGGGCCTTCATACCTGCCAGTTAGATTCCCATCTCCACCTGACCTAAACAATAGGTCTTCCAGGAAGACAATAAATAAATAACACCATGGTTTTATTCTGCAGTCTGCCCAACGTGCAAGTGTGTGGATGGATGGGAGTTGGGGGTTGTTTCAGCCACTCAGTGCAGAAGTCGTACAAGTGATTGGAAAGTACTCAGGTCCTTGGGGGGGCTGCTTTATGGTATTGGACTGGATTTAAAAAAAAAACACACCGATTCTTTTCCTCTCTTTTTTTTTTTTACAAGAAGCAGACTGGACCGATGTCAACACCAAATTCCTGATTGGCTCCACCAATGTCCATAGGAGCAATGTCAACGATGGGCAGGCGCGAGGTCTTCTGTGATCGGTATTCGATGACTGTCTTGCCCCATTTGCCAGTGTGTTTCTGGGAAGAGAGGAAGGCAGAAAGCAGGAATTACTGGATGCTGCCACTCAAAACCGGCTGCCCGTCCTATGTCGTGGCTCAGATGACAGAGCACCGTGGATGTGTGCCTCGGTTTCCCCTTCCTATGTCTCGTCTCTTCAGGACTGCAGCAAGGACTACATCTTACTGTGTGTCTGTGCCCCGCGCCCTCCCTAATAGGGCCCCAATCACAGATAGTGGCTGTAGATAATACAGCAACACACAAAGTGGCAGGGTCCCTTTAAAAAAATCTTAAGGTGAACTCCTGAGAATCAACTCTCTATTCCTGGCAAGGAAGATTTAGCCCTAAATCGCTGTGCCTCGGTTTCTCCCTGGATGAAGTAGTGTGAGTGAGACTTCCTGGGCTCACTACTTAATCCTCAGTGAAGGACACTGGTGCATGGCCTTGCAGGCGTCCTGTTAAGCAAACCCCAAGCGTCGGTCACTCCCGTCCACTTACCGTGCAGCCGTCCTCCAAGGCACTGTACGTGAACCTGCTGTTGCCCTCTGCCCGGATCTCGACGTCGTTGGAGCCCTGGATCAGGATGGCTTTCTTCAGGTTGCCGGAGGCCTCGTCCATGTAGGCGATGCTGTTCTTGCAGTGGTAGGTGATGTTCTGGGAGCCTTCAGTGGACAGGAGCCGCAGGAAGGTCATCTGGATGTTGGCCGTGTTGGGAGCCAGGTTGTCGTCACCATAGCCGAACTGGAAGGGGGCAAGATGAGAGGATTAGAGCCGCGTTAGCCAAAGTGTCGGCTGTGAAGGCAGAGAAGGTTATGGAAGATAATTCATCTCAGGCCTTAAACTTGTGATGAAGGCTGTTCAGGTGTCTAACTCACTTGGGCTCCCATGAAAGCTGGAGCCCTTATGCTCAAGAGCTTAGAATATCTACATATCTGATTGCCGTTCTCATCCTCACATTAGCACAGTTAACTTAAATGAGACAGACAACTGTCAGCTAGATGAATATGCTGCTCTCCCTACCACCGGGGAGACAAATCGCATCCCCTTCCCATTCCAGGATATCTGTTTGCATCCATATATGAGAGATGCTGATGTTTCAAGGAAACTTTTGCCCCCCTTTGCAGGTGGGGGAGTGGGATAGGGCTGAAATTTCAGTGGAAATTTCCATGCAGGCTAACAGGAAATGTCGCCCAGCTCCAACCTGGAGCCGGTGTTTTCAGAACTGGCACCTCAAAGTGGTCTCAAGCTGGGTCTTTGAAAGTCCCCAGTCACTTAGGAAAGTTTAGGCACTACAATGAAAAGGCATCCTCCTCCCATCCCAGCCCTTCAGCAAGACCACCCCACCCCTCCTTGACCAGGACAGGCTGGCTGGGCATGCTGAAGCGTGGCAACTTACGTGGAAGCCCCCATTGATGGTCTCTCCAAACCAGATGTGTTTCTTCTCCTTGGTCTTGCTGGTCCACCAGTTCTTCTGGGGGATGCTGGCAGGGTTGGGGTAGACGCAGGTCTCACCAGTGTCCATGTTACAGAAGACTTTAATGGCGTCCAAGGTGCAGCCCTGGTTCGGGTCAATCCAGTAGTCACCTGCAGGGTGGGAGACACACAGACCTTAGCGCTTCGGGCGTAAAAAGGGGGTAAAGCAGCTGCAGGGCTGTGCAGTGGGTGACCCCAGGGAGTGGCTGTCAGGACTGCAATGCACTAGCAGAGATCTTCTGGGGAGAGGAAGCTGGAGAGAGGGGTCTTGCAAACACTTAGGGCTGGCATAGGGGCAAGACAGGGCTCTGCGGCAGGAGGTGGCCAGGACTGGAGCAGCACTGGGATGTTACAGGGCAGGAGCAGCATTGCCAGAGGCACCTGAGCCCAGCCCATGGCGCAGCGCCTGGCACTCACCGCTCTGCCAGTCAGGGTGGCAGAGCTTGAGGTCACGGCAGGTGCGGGCCGGGTTCTTCTTGGAGCCCTCGGGGCTGCGGATGCTCTCGATCTGGTTGTTGAGGGCCTTCAGCGTGGCATCCACCTCAGCGTCGTGCTGCCGCAGACCAGTCGAGGCCTGGTCCGCGCGCATGTACCGGATGGGGTCGGGGCCCTTCTCGGTCTGGCCCAGGCCGGCGAAGGCTGACATGTCGATACCGGTGCCCGGGGGGCCAGGAGGGCCAGGGGGGCCAGGGTTTCCAGGAGGACCCTGGGTTGGGGAGAGGAGAGGTTTAGGACTCTGACCTAGTGTGGCTGACATCCCACCCCACCTCTCCCTTTCCCGGGGGCGGATAAGGCCACGGTGAGATAAATGGGACACAGGACAATGACCGGATCCTGGAGGTTGAAAATGAGAGAGCCACAAAGGTGTTGGGGGTGGACTCGGGAAACAGAGCTGCAGGGAAGTGGAGCCCCTGACAGTGGAGGCCGGTGGGAACAGGGGTGGACTGGGCCAACATTGCTCAGTGGGGCAGCTGGCGAAGAGACTCCCTGGGGTGGAGGGTGGTGATGGAGCAACTGGGGGTGCTGGGGCAATGGAGGAAGTGTCTGAGCGAGCACTCCCAGAGGGTCCAAGGGCTGACCCTGCAGCTGGGGGTGGTGCCCAAGTCCCTCCAGCCCCGCGCCAGGGGCTGGCAGCTCTGCCGGGAGCCGGGTACTTACAGCAGGACCGGGTTCGCCGCTACGCCCGCGAGGGCCGGGAGGACCAATGGGGCCGGGCATGCCATTGGAGCCGTCTTTGCCAGAGGGGCCGACAGGGCCGGCAGGACCCTAGGAAAGAGTCACAGCGCAGGGGTGAGAGTCAGGCCAAGCAGGCGGTATGAGGCAAACGGGAGTTCCCTGTGCTAACGACACAGCCGGCTAATTAAGAGCATCACAAATCCCTGGACTTCGTGCCTGGCCCCTGCTGCGTACCGCGACCCCTCCAAGCTTAGGGGTGATCTCTGACCTGGCTAACACCTACTGGAGATTCCCCATGGGGTAAGAGAGGCCCTCAGATGTTAGCGGTATAGGGGGCATGACACACACAGTAGTGATTCTAGTCCCATCTGCTAGACGGATGCACCCACACCCATGTGCGCAGAGCTTGCTACACTACACGCAGCTGCTCAGACCTCCTCGGCTATCCCAGAACGGGGAGCAGAAGCCCAGCAGCCACTTTCCCCGAATGCTGTTGGCTTACACCTGGGCTCTGCTCTGCGGGGGGAAGGCAGGAACCAGCCGGTCCCATCAGAAACCAAATGGCCTGTCCCTGAAGACCGTGGAAGCTTCTTACCGAAGACAGAGCTGGGCCTGTGTGTGTGTGTGTGTGTGTGTGGTGGGGGGTGGTTTGCGTGTGTGGTAGGTGGTGGGTGGGTGTGTGCACGTGTGAGAGAGCCTGTATGTATGTGTATGAGATACACTATACGTGTGTGTGTGACCGTGTGCGCATGTTTGTGAGAAAGAGAGCGATGCCCTGCTCTGCACCTTGCTGCTCTTCAGGCCTTTTACCCAGAACAGCAAACCCCGCTCCCCCTGCCCCAACCACTGCACCCCATGCCCGGACCTGGACTTACCCTGGGCCCAGCAGGGCCGCCGGGGCCAGTAGCACCTTGGTCTCCAGAAGGACCCTGGGGAGAAAGCAAAGCCACAGTTCAGAGCTCAGCATGTGCAGGGCTTCCCTTGGGGACCTGGCCCCCCAAAGCCAGGCAGGGGCAGCAATAGGGGACACCCTATGGCCCTGCCCAGCTGGGAACAGCCCCCAGCCCTGCCAGGGGCTTGCCCAGGAGGATGAGGATGTGCTTACAGGGGGTCCAGGCAGGCCCTGCAGGCCGGTGAAGCCGCGGTGACCCTTCAGCCCTCTTTCACCAGCCTCTCCGGCTTCACCCTTGTCACCGCGAGGACCTTGAGGACCCTGGAAGGGAGGAAGGGAGAGGAGCTGTCAGCAGGAGGGATCACAGTGCGGACCCTAGTGCAGCTGAGCATGCAACACGGGGCCTCACGCAGCACACAGGAGGGTGTGCTACAATGATGCCCACTGCAACACAGCATAGGGCATGACGTGCACATTCAACACGCCAGAGGGCATGACAAACACACGTTCATCATGCTACAAGGCATGAGGTACACACCTTCAACATGCTGCCAGGCACGACATGCAGACACTGAATATGGCACAGGGCATAACACACACACGTTCAACATGCCACAAGACGTGACGCACACGTGCTCAACATGCCACAGGGCATGATGGATGTGTGCTCAAGGCCTTGCTGAGCACACAGTGAGGTTCACCCTGCCCCACGCTTCAGTGCACAGGTGGGTTCAATGTGGTCGTGCAACAATGCAAGCCCCCGTACCGCACTGCAGCCACTGCACAGAGCACCATGCAGAGCCCACCCCGCATTACCCCACTCCCCGCAGGCACGTGTGCCTTCCAAGCTGAAGCCAGCCCCGTGCCTCTAATGGCCAGGGGTGCCCAGCCTGTGCCTCCCCCAGGCATGTAGCAGCCTGAGATGCAGAGGTGCTAAGTGCCTGCTTGGGCTGCAGGCATCACCCAGCGCTGAGGTCATTTTGCTGCTTTGGGCAGCGGGCACGTACATCTGGTATGGACTACTCACCGGCATGCCCCGGGCGCCAGCGGGACCAGAGGGGCCCATAGGACCTTGAGCACCCTGGGGAGAGAGAAGAGGGTTAACGGTGAGAAGCTGTGCCCAGCGGAGGAGGGCTCCTGCTGTAACACGCCACAGGGTTTGAGCGCCCAGTTCATTCTCATGGTACATGAACGTGGGCATCTACCAGAGTGGCTTGCACCCCAGCCCTGGGACTGATGGCTAGATGGCAGAGGTCAATCCCCTCCCTCTCTGTCTGCCTGGGGAAATGGCAATTTCCCCCCTCATTAGCCTAAATACTCTCTTGCTTCTGCAGCTGGTAGAAAGGATGCTTCAGGTGCTACCAGAGCTCTTCTGCTTGGCTGCATCAATCACAGGCTATTGCAAGCATTCCCTAATGGGACAAGAACACCTCCATCGCCCACAAGATGCACTGGACCTTCGGCCTGCCTGCCCTGCAACGACTTCCCCTGCTCTCATCCAAATGAGAAGTCCAGCAGTTCCTTTCCATACCTGTATCCAGAGCATCTGCTCTGCAAACTTCTCATGCCCCAGCAAGACAAGCCAAGACCTTGTTGCCTGGATGGCACTGCTTCAAAACGCAGAGCCTTCCCCCTACTCTGGGCAGGACTTTCAAGTACTCAATGCCCTCACTGTACTAGACACAGGGCTCCTGAGTACTCAAGCACTGATTGCACTGGAGAGGGTCCTTCTGAGTAGACAGTGCCCATGCTGGTTCCAGATGGTCCCCAGTGAGAACATGAGCCCTTGCCATGATGCTCTGCTCTCTCTGGTGCTAGGGAGGATCTCAGTTTGGGGTGAGAGATGCCAGGTACTTACTGCTTCTCCTCTGTCTCCTTGTTTGCCAGTTGGACCGACGGGACCTGGAGCACCAGGAGCGCCAGGAGCACCAGGACCGCCAATGGCACCTGTTTCACCACGATCACCCTGCCAGAGACAGACGTGGTTATAAAGGCCCAGCCCCTCCCTGACCTGTACTCTGCCCAGGGAAGTGGCTCTGCCTGCCCAAGGTGGCACCACTGCTTCTTCTATCTGGGTTCAGGGGGAGCCTCTGCCCTTTGCCTGGATGGGGTGTGCAAATGGCAAGCACCCTGGGATGGTGTGGATGGGGCAGGGACAGCCTTCGGGAAGCTGAAAACGTCCTAGAGCTGCTTGGGACTGGAGGGAAGGTAGTGGCTCACTCCTGCCAGGCACAGGTGAACATCTGTCCAACACAGGAGTAGTTCCCTGATGCAGCTTGCCCAGGATGTGATGCCCAGGGTATGTGGCCAAGCTGGAAAGGGACAACCTGTCTGACCTGCTTTGGAGCTTGGAGAAGCAGCAGTGGGAGATCTGATGGCACCCAATGAGACTCCCCAGCCATGGGTGCCCTGACTCAGGGTGGGGGCAACATCCGGAGAAGAGCAACCGGTACCTCCGCACTGGAGGGGGAAACCTCCCTTTGCTGAACTCACCTTCACTCCAGCTGCACCGTCTCGGCCTGGGGGACCATCAGATCCAGGGCTGCCCTGGGAACGAGCAGAAGAGGTGGTCAGAGATGTTGGCTATCTCCATGGAGCCGTCTCCAGACACAAAGTGGGGCACGGTGGGCTTGGCAAAGCAGCTGGTCACAGGCTCTCACTGGCCAAGCAAAAGCTTCCCAGGAAAAAGAACTGGAAACTGGGCTGCCCTCAGGGTGCTGGACTTAGTGGTGCCCAATTCCTGGTCCTTCCCATGTCATGCTGGGTCTGGGGTCCATGATATTCACTTCTCAGGCTGGAATGGGATGAGGCTGAGCGCTCCACCGGTGACCATGTCATCCCTGGCTTTTGCCTTCAGCCTGTTTCCAAAATGCCAATGCCGGGGCCAGTTTTGTTGCTTACCTCACGTCCAGTTTCACCAGGGGGACCGGTCAGACCAGGGGGACCCACGGGACCAGGTGGACCTCGGTCACCGGAAGATCCAGGAGCTCCTTGTTTACCGGGCTCACCCTACAAGGCAGAGACACGAGTCAAGCTGCGAAGGGTTAACTCCCCGTGTGATACGGGGTCTTTTGTGCGCAGCCACTTCCCGCACAGCTCCCCTCTTAGACACTCTCCTTCCTGAGGCCCAGACTGAACTATCCTCTTTTCTGACTCATCTCAACAGAGGGGTCAGTCCCTCAATACTGGCAGGGTTTGTGTCAAGACGTGCGGCTCCTTCCTGCCCAAAACCTGCCAGCTGATATCTCCAGGGCAAGGAGAATGGTTTTGCCAAATCCAAGGTGGCCACACCAGGCGCTTATGAAACAGGCAACACAAAATAATGGCCAGGCCTGTCGTGCCAACCAGGAGTCACATTGGTCAAGGGATTCCAAAAATGCTATAAGGACCTTGTGTGCAGGGATGGACTGGGTACAACTGGCAGGAAACTGTCCCTTGAAAACATTTTCCGGCATTAGATGAGGGTCTTGGATGCAACAAACCCATTGCTGAAGGTGTCTGCTTTCTTCTGAAAATTGTGACTTTTCAACAAATAATCCAGAGCCCACAAAAAAGAAAAATCAAATCTTTGTTCAGTTTCTGCCACAAAAACTCAGACTTTCAGACAAAAACAAGACCCAGGCCTAGAAGGGCATGAGTCCTCAAACGGGACCTCTATGCTCAAGGGGTGCAGGGTCGATGCGTGTAGAGCATCTCCAGAGCTTCTGAGGGGGTTGGAAAATCTACAGAGGTCTGGACCCACCGGCCAAGTGAAATCCAGCCTTGGGCAAAGGTCCAGCCACACATCAGTGCCCCTCAAGCCTTGGCAAAGGGCTCGCGGATGGGTCTGTGGAGGTCCTCATCACCCAGGCTGGAAGCTCAGGGCTTACAACACCCAACAGACCTGCGAGCTCTGCCACCCAAGCAGCTCTCCCCGTGGTGCACCTGCTTGAAACAATCCAGAGACCCCCTAGTGAAACGGGCTCTGTCCCACAACCCGCTCTGGGCCAATGCTGAATGTTGTGCAAGCAACCTATGAGCATCTTAGGATCACAGGAAAATTGAGCTGGAAAGGACCTGATGAGGTCACATCTAGTCCAAGCCCCTGCTCAAAGCAGGACCGGCCCCAACTAGATCATCCCAGCCAAGGCTTTGTCTAGCTGGGTCTTAAAAACCTCCAAGGATGGAGATGCCACAAGCTCTCTGGGGAGCCTGTTCCAGTGCTTCACCACTCTCCTCATGAGAAAGTTTTCCCTAATATCTAACCTAAACCTCCCTTGCTGCATTGTGAGCCCATTGCTCCTTGTTCTGTCATCTGCCACCACTGAGAACAGGCCAGCTCCATCCTCTTTGCAACCACTCTTCAAGGAACTGAAGGCCACTATTAAATCCCCCCCCAGTCTTCTCTTCTCCAGACTAAATAAGCCCGGTTCCCTCAGCCTCTCCTCACAAGTCCTGTGCCCCAGCCCCTGAACCATTTTCACTTCCCTCTGTTGGACTCTGTCCAATGTGTCCACATCCTTTTTGTAGTGGAGGGCCCAAAACCGGACTCCAGATGTGGCCTCACCAGTACCGAATAGAAGGGAAAGATCACTTCCCTTGATCTGCTGACAATGCTCCTACTAATGCATCCTTGACTAAATCATCCCAGCAAAATGTCTGTCCATGCTGCTCTTGAAAACTTCCAAGGTTGGAGATTCCCCCGCTTCTCTAGGCAGCCTCTTCCAATGCTCGACCAGCCTCATAATCAGAAAGTGCCTCCTCATCTCCAACCTCAGCTTCCCCCGCTGAAGCTTGAGGTCATTGCTCCTAGTCCTGTCCCCTACAGCTACAGAGAAAAGCCCAACTGTGAAAGGACACAGAGCCTAGGTGCAGGAAGATGAGACCACTGCAGATGCACCCTGGAGCTGGTGGGCTCTAGCAATGAGGATGGGCTCAGACGGCTTGTAGCCTAGCCGTGGACAAGCGAGGGTGCTGCAGAAGTCCACCTGAATAAGTCTACCTGGGGTTTTCTGGAAGGTTAGAAACCCCATGGACACCTCAGCAGAGCTTGTGACTAGCAGCTGTGGGGGCAGGAGCTGAGGAAGTCTGTCTACACAAGTACAGCTCTCATCTCCATTTGCCGAAGTAACCTATGGGCTCTGCGTACTCCTGCTCCAAGATCCACAGCACCCAGATTCGCCCACCAACTTCCTCCTCTACCCACGCCATCCTCAGCAGCTTGTCCTCTACCAAAATCCACTGTTTAGGGGATGCTGTGACCAGCCTCACCCCTTTCTCCCTGGCTAGACGGAGGGGACAACTCAACAGTGTTGCCTGTTGCAGCTCAAGACCCACCGATCTGCTGCTACCCAAGACTGTCTTCATTCCTCTGCCTCATTCCCTCTCTGTGGAGGAACTTGGGCCAAGACTCTGGGAGTATGGGGATGGGGCATGGCTCATCCTGCCTGGAGATAGGAAGAAGTTACTTACCGAAGGCCCAGGCAGGCCGGGGAAACCTCTCTCACCACGCTGGCCAGGAAGACCCACAATACCTCGCTGCCCTGCCAAGCCTTGAGGACCGGGGGGACCATCGGGACCCTGGAAGACAGGGGTGGAAGGTGAGACCCAAGCCGAGGAGATGGTCCATGGCATGAAGCAGGGCCTGCGGGAACACTTACAGGAGCACCGTCATCACCGGACTCGCCCTTCTCGCCGGGGGGACCAGCAGGACCTTGGAGACCAGGGTCGCCAGCACGACCAGATGGACCTGCATCACCACGGGCACCCTTGGGACCATCTTTGCCAGAAGCGCCAGGCGGGCCAGGGGGGCCTGGGTTACCCTGGAAGAGAAACACGGGGTGTAGTGAGAATGGGGGGACACCCCGCTTTGCTCACTGGTTCCACCTCACCTTGCTCCACCTCCCGCTCCATCCCCAGAGGACAGAGGATGGGCCATGGACCCCCCTCGCCACCCATCCCTGTGTGAGTGCCAGCCTTCAGACTGAGCCTGGTCCCTCTAGGAATCAAAGAGCAAGCCAAGGAGCCCCTGGGGGGCATTTCACATGGGCTTAGATGGACCCCACAGTCCCTGCGGTGTAGGCAACAAATGACCCGTGCACCAATTATGGCAGCTGCAGAGCTGTAGGTTTGGGGCTAAAGATCCCACGTTTGCCTCCACATTTACTACAATGCACAAAATGTTGGGACCCCCCAGGCATTCGCTGGGAACTGCTCCGGGGGTCCATTCTCCTTCATTTTCCCGACATGGAAACCAACCCAGGAGCTAGGAACAGCTGCCTGGCTCAGACCACTGGGCCCATTTAGCCCAGTTTCTCTTGGCAAGAGCTGTGTCAATGGATGGCGATGGGTATATCTGCCCTCCCCAGGAATGTAACATCCCCAACGGAGAGAGGTTGGCACGTGCCCCCGAGATGGCAGCCCCGGGGCCCCACAGAGGTTGTATCTCCCCAGGAAGTCCGTGCACTTACGTTCGGGCCGGGCGGTCCAACTCGTCCGGCAGCCCCGGGAAATCCAGTGGCTCCCTAGACAAGGAGAGGAGACGTGTTAGCCGACACATGGGTCGTGGTGTTTGGGGATGAGAATACATAGCCCCCACTCCCGGCAGCACCGTGTGGATCAGCAAGAGCCAGCTGGCCAGCCTCCAGCCCGACCGCCTCCTCAGGCACGTCGAGTGCAACTTAATGGGCTGAGACTGGGTTGAGGAAGGGGTGTCCCCAGCATGTGCCCAGTGCCCTGGCCTGGGCTGTGGTGACACCGGTGTCTCCATCAACAGCCCCGGCGCGGAGTCAGGCCAGGCTGCCCCTCTCCAAGGTGCTGACGGATCCCGGTGGTACTTACAGGGGGGCCCTGGGCACCGCGACCTCCTTTAGGACCAGTCACACCAGTTGGACCCTGGGGAGGAAAGAAGGGGAAGCAGGTTAGCTCCTGTCTGGCCTGGGACCAGATGGCTCCCCCAGAAGCGGTCTGATCTGGCTGCAACGGCTGCATTGAGACCCTCTTTCTCCTGCCCATCTCTGCCCTCGCAGTGCCCGGCCCCCTCTTGCTGGAGGACTGGGTGCACCAGTACAACGTCCCACCCTGCTGGTCTCCTGCCCCCTCAGACCAGGCCTGTGGGGAGAAGTGGGGGAAGCCAATACAGCTCAGAGCACCCAGCCCCATCACAGGCCAGGGGCTGGCTCCCCCAGCGGGGACGTGGGCATCGGGCCAGGCCCAGAGGCTGGGTTTTGATCCCAGGTAGGGTCAGAACCAGATCCGGACCCAGACTCCAGGGTCTCACGCCAGGCCCAGGGGAGCCCCCCCAGGACTCTGTCCTGACCCCATCTGTCACTGCAAAACCTTTCTGTGTCCCCCCCAGCTGCTTCCAGAAGCTCAGGACCTGCCTGCCCCAGCACCCACCACACCTGCGGAAACCACGAAGGCACCCGCGTTACCCACCTGTGGGCCAGGAGCACCAGATGGACCCTGTGGACCTGGGGCACCGGCGTCACCCTTCTGACCGGATTCTCCTTGCTCACCCTTTGCGCCGGGCTGGCCATCGGCACCCTGTGTGGGGGAGGAGAAAGGAAGGGGGCCCGTGGTGAGGAGAGGCTCCACAGCCGCAGGAGGACGGGCCATGCACCCCGCGCTCCCGTAGGCAGAGGAGGGCGCTGGGTGCCACGGAGGTGGCTGTACTTACAGGGGGTCCAGCGAATCCAGCAGGGCCAGGAGCACCGGGCTCACCACGCTCACCCTGCAAGGGAACAGACAGGGTCAGGAGGAAACAACCTGGTGTCCACACAGCCCACAGCACCCCCCTACCCCCCACGGGGCCACTAGATGGGACCCCAGCCCCTCAGCCACCAGGGAAGGCAAAGGTGTGACTGCTTGATGTCTGAACATCGCCTTTCTCCATGCTGGGGGCAACCTCCCCAGCCCTGGCACCACCATCAGAAAGACAATGGCAGCACAAGGGAGCCAGGAGACCCCCCAGCCATCCCTGAGACCACCCCCTACCCTGAGGGCTGTGAACAACCCCCAGACCAGCCCAGGGACCCCAGCATTGTCGGCAGGGGCTGTCCAAGCTCCTCGGCTCTGGGACAAGCCCCAGGGGCTGCACAGGCCAGCTGGATCCCACCAAGAAAGCTCCTGGCGTCGCACTCACCGGGGCACCGCGGGCACCTGCAGCACCGGAGGGGCCGGGGGGACCCGACTCGCCCTGAAAAGGAAGGAAGGGAGAGAGGTGAGGGGCAGCAGGGCATAAGGGGCACCCCTGGGCAGTGCCCTCTGCCCCCCACACACACAAAGGGAGAGGAAAATGCCCCCCGCGCACCCCCACATCGCCCTATGCTCCTCCCACTCCCCAAGCCCCACCCAGATCCTGAGCTCCGCCCATAGACCTCTCCCACAGCTCCAAGACCCAGCTCCCAAATCCCTTCCGCCCTCAGCTCCCACCGCCTTCCGTGCCCCCAGCTGCTCCCCAAAACGAAGCCCTGCCCCCATGCACAAGCTCCCCCTACTTCATCAGAGGCCCCGCCCTCTCCCCTGAAGCTCCGCCCACTCCCCCAGTGTTTGCCTCTACCCTGGAGCCCCTGGGATCTCACCTTCTCGCCGTTGGAACCTGAAGGGCCGGGGGGACCGATGGGACCTGTCAGACCCTGGGGGAGAGAGGGGAGGGAGTGAGGACACGTGAGAGAGACCTGGTGTAACCCCCACCCACCAGCCACAGCCCTCCACCAGCTCCCTGCTACTACTATGGTGCGGTAGGTCTCTGGCGACTACGCCATTACAGCCTGACTGCTACAGCTCTCTGCCTGCTACAACCGACAACACCCCTACAGCTCCCAGCCCGCTACAGTCGAGCTGCCACTGTCATCTACTGCTCCAGCCGCCTCCTCCTGCAGCCCTGCAGACTGTTGTGTTGCTGTAGCTTGACTCCTACAGTGCTACAGCGGTCTGCCTGCTACAGTCTGACTCCTACACTGCTACAGCCTGGAGCCTGGCTGCTACCTCCCTCTGCCTGCCACCCTGCTACAGCTTGATTGCCGAACGCTTTGGCCTCCAACACAGCTGCAGCTGGCTCTGCAACAGTCGTCTGATGCTGCAGCAGGACTCCTGGCCTTCCGCCTGTTGCATTACTACAGCAGTCTCTTGCTCCTGCTGTTTGCCCGCTATCAGGTCAGTGTAGCAGCTCTCTGAGCACAACGCGGCTACAGTCCAACTGTCACAGCTCTCTGCCTGCTAGGCTGCTACTGCCCTTAAGTAATCACTACCCCACAAGTACACCTTGCCTGCTACCCTGTGCCAGTTTGTTCCCTGCCGGCTGTAGTGCTCTGCCCCACCACCGCACAGCTGCAGCTCTCTGCCTGTCCCTCCTGTTGCTGTTGGGTATTTCCCAGCCTCCCCCTGCTCACACCACCCAGTGTCCTGGGTCTGTCCCATTTGGACCCAATCCCCTGTACTTACTCGTGAGCCGTCTTTGCCGGGGGCACCTTCAGGGCCTTTCTCACCGATGTCTCCCTGGGGAAGAAGATGGAGAAGTTATGAACCAGAGGCCGATACAGCCAGTCCAGTTACCCTCTGCAATGACCTGGCACCGGCGGTGCAGGGTGCAAATAGCTCGTCTGGCAGAGGGTCCAGTTCTGCAGCAGGGAATTATCCTGTTCATATTCTCTGTTGATGTGATGGAGCGAGAGCCCCTTGGAAGCAGCTGAGCTGGTGACCCCTGAGCCCTCTGCAAGCAGCTAGACCTCCCATGCCAAATTTCCAGAGGGCACAAACTGGTGTCATCCTATTACAGTCACCAGGGCCAAGCCCCCATTGCTGTAAACCAGCCTCACTGCACTGAGATCACGTAAGTGGTGTGGCCTCACCCCATGCCCTGCCTTGACCATGGCACCTGCCCCTGGGTGCCTTGCCCCCCACCAGGGGCACTACTCACCCTGTCTCCCTTTGGTCCAGAGATGCCAGCTGCTCCTCTCTCTCCAGGCATCCCCTGCAGGCCAGGTGGGCCCTGGGCGCCTTGTGGGCCACCTGGACCGGTTGCACCCTGGAGCAGAGAAGCACAGTAAGGTCACCAAGTGCCCAGGACCCAGGACACTCCTCTATCAGCCTGGGGATGTGGAAGGGCAAGGGGGGGGCATGACCCCCAGCCCCCGCTGGCTCTCCGCAAGGGCTATTCTGGAGGCACCGGGGGTGGGGGTGCAAGGGGTTGGACTTGATGACCCCAGCTCCCCGCTGCAGCCAGGTGAGCCAGAGCTGCCTGTGTGGGGCATGGTGTGTGACCCCTCTATCCTCCCCCCAGCCAGGCTCCTGCCAGGCGGCAGCAAGGACCAGATACCCTACACGCACACTCATCCCACAAGCTCTCCAGGCCCAGACCCCTCATCCCACAGTCTCTCCAGGCCCAGCCCCTGGAGGGAGACAGACCCCCCTGACCACATTATGCCAGCCACCTACCTTGGGCCCATCCGTGCCGGGCGTGCCTGGGAGCCCACGAGGGCCCTGCAGACCTTGAGAGCCTGGGGAGCCCCGTTCTCCTGGGAAGCCGCGTTCACCCTGGGAGGAAGGAGATGCTGTTAGGGGGAGGCTGAAACTGGGGACCAGCCGGGATGATCCCCAGGGACAGGGTGGTTTGAGGCATAGGGCAGAACAGAGGCAGCAGGGGGTGGCTGTGCTCCTCCCCAGAGCTGGCTGCATCACCCAGCTAGAAGTGGGGAAGGGCTTTCACAGGGTGCCCCAAACAGTGAGGAGCCCCCACAGTGACAGGCCAGAGCCCTTTGGCTCTCCCTGTAGCTGGGGATGGTTAAATTAATTAATGCTTGGAGGAAAGGGGCATTAGGAGCTATGGAGCAGGGGAGTGAGGGGCCGCTGAAGCAGGATATCCTAGACCTTCAATGCTGGAGGCTGCAAGGGAGAGAGGACCAGGGGGAACCCCTTGGTCATAGCCAGGTCACTCCTTTCCAGCCTCCGCTCTCTGCCGCCGTGTGACACCGGAGACTGGGCAAGATGGACCTAGGCTCTGACCCAGCCCATGGCAGCTCTTGTGCCCTTGATGTAGGAGCGAGGGGGGCACTGATATTCCCCTCCCGGAGCCCAACCGCGCGGGGGAAACTCTACTTACTCTGGGGCCGACCAGGCCGGGGGTACCAGCTTCTCCGGGGACACCCTGCAAGAACAGACAGGTGGTTAGACACCAGGAGGGATGGGGACATCTGCCCCAGCCGGGTGCTCGCCTCAGGCCCAGGGCAGGGGATGCTGATGCTGGCTTCACCCCAGCGGGGAGGCCCTGAGCAGCCTAGCAGAAGGCTGGCGAGGCCTCAGGGGCACGGGGACCTGGCCAGTGGCATTCAGCAGCTACGGGACCCAGTGGAGCCTGATGCCTTGTAGAAGCCACCTTGCTCCACCTGCCTGGAGCCCGGATCCAGGTGGACTCGTCAGCTCCCTTTTGCTCTGAGCCCTGAGTCAGACATCTTCACTGACCCCAGTGCTCCTGGCTGAATGGGGAGACCTCCACCCCAACCCAGGGGACCCCAGGCCACGCAGAGACCCAATCCCAGCCATGGGGCAGCATCTGAGCCCATCCAGGACTTTGGTCTACAGCCCGTAGGCACAAGCCAACTGGCAGCAGTAGAACAGGAGGTACCGGGTCCCACTTACCCACCACAGGGGCACAAGCTCACCTGATCACCGGGCTTGCCGCCTTCGCCGGGAGGGCCTGGGGGGCCGGGCAGTCCCTGCAAGGAAGGAGGCAATGACGTGAGCCATGGGCTGCACTCGGCGCTGAGGCCTCTCCCTTCCCTCTGGGCTGGGAGATGCTCCAGTGCCCGACGCGAGATCAGGCCACGTCTGCAGTGGCCCCTAGACCCCGCACCTGAGCTGTGCAATGGGCCCGGGGAGGTTGGAGCTGGGATGCAGGGCTGCCCCCACCCCACCCCATCCCACCCCACCTGCCAAGGGTTAACACCCACAGTGGGACTCACCTGGAAGCCGGAGGGCCCGGGAGCACCTTGCTCGCCTCTCTCTCCTGCAGGCCCCTGCAAAGGGAAAGGGAAGGGTGAGAGGCTGGGGATGGGGTTGGTATCTGCTGGCAGGGGGCCAAGGCCTGTGGGGGCAGGGGCATGGACCCAGGCACCCATGCCCTCGCAGTGCAGGTGTTTCCCTCCAGTTTCTGCCTTTTTTAGGGGACTTTGCTCAAGAGCTTCCCCCTGCCATGGGCACAGGCTGGTGGCAAGCCAACTCATGCCTGCATGAGGGCACTGGGAGGGAGAGCCCTGGGGAAGGGTCTAGGATGGGGGTCCAAGCCCAGCACTACAGGACATGCAGCCCTGTCCCTCCCACCCGCAGGGGCCTGGGCAACCCTTCTGCCCAGGTCCGGCTCCCATCCTGGCTACAGGCACCAGCCTCGCTGCCATGTTCCTTATGATGACAGATTCAGGAGATGACAGATACTCACGGCAGGTCCAGGGGGACCGGAGGCTCCTGTCTCACCGTCCTTTCCAGGCAGACCCTGGAACGGAAAGAAACCCCCATGAAATCCACATTCCCCAGCCCTTCAGCTGCCCCCCATCCCCTTGTCTCTCCATCCTCCACCCCAGCCAATTCCCTCCCCCAGATCAACGGCACTTCTGAGTGCCCGCCTCTTGTTTCAAATCAAAAGCCTGCTCCAGTGGGCCATGTTCAGGTGCCAGCTTGGTGTGCAAGAGGCTGGGTGAGTGTCTATGCCTCCGTTTCCCCTCTGAGGGCTAACTGCACCGAGCTGCTGGGGGAACTGTCTCTACGGGGCTGTTCGTCGGGTGGTCTGGGTAACTTCAAGGCATTTTGGCCCCTCTGCTTCCTCCCTGGGGGCCAGTCCTGCTGTGATCCCAGGGATGGGTCCTTGGAGCGACCGGACCCCCAGAACAGCCGCCGGCCAGGATCCAGGGAAACCAGAAGGGGATGCGTGTGCAAGGGGGCCGGGAATAATAGCCACTTACCCTCAGGCCGGGGGCACCAGGCAGCCCCTTCTCGCCAGCTTTGCCAGCCTCGCCCTAGGAGAGAAGAGAAGATGAGATGCTTGTGAAGCCTGCATGGGCTCTGGGCGGAGCAGGCTGCTGCTGGGCCCTGGGGAGCAGGGTTGGCAGAGCCGAGGCATCTAGATGCACGGGGGCATTTCTGCCACAGCCTCCCCTTCCTCCCAGTCCTGCTGGAGCCAGACATCCCAGTGAATGGCCTGTGACAGCAGCCCATAGATCTACATAGGGCCTGGGCAGGCACTGCTGGGGGTGCCCATAGCTTGGGTGCACGGGGCCCTTATGGCACTAAACGGGTTGGGACATGCAGGTCACCCAGGTGAGCACCCCCTGCCTCCCCGCACCGGGCTCTCCCCTCCCCACCAGCGTGGCTCGCTTTGCCCATTGGTTCGCGCTACCCAAGGGAGTGGATACTTACATTAGCACCTTTGGGGCCAGGGAAGCCCATCACGCCAGGTTGCCCACGGGCACCCTGTGGGCCAGGGGGGCCAGGCCGGCCGTCCTCGCCAGGGGCACCCTGTAGGGAGGCACGGGGGACTGGTTAGTCAGCAGGCCGGGTCTTGCTCGCTGCCTCCAGCACATGAAGCCCCCTTGCCATCCTTGCTCCCAAGGAGCTCTGCTCTCCCCCCGCCTCCTTTAGGGGGCTGCATTCAAGCCCTGAACCCCACCATGCCCCTAACCCAGCCCCCCAACATCCAATGCCCCCAAAGAGGTATAGTGATACATCCACGCCCCCCTCCCCACATCCCATGCCCCGCCACCCAGGGACCTGCAGCACTTACCGTGGGGCCAACTTTGCCTTGAGGACCAGCATCACCAGGACGGCCAGTGAGACCCTGGAAGGAGGAGGCAGAAGGTCAGGGAAGCACTGGGGATGCTTGCACCTGGCTCAGGCCTTCAGGTGGGCTCACAGCGCCCCCTCGAACTGCTGGGCCAGCCTGGGCTTTTACTTGCCACTGTGGGGGGGGAGCACCCGGGCTCTATTGCCAGCTCTTTCATGTGATTGGGGGAAGGCTACTTTCCTGCTCTGTGTCTATGCTTTGCTCCATAGGCTCTGTGCCTCAGTTTCCCCCCTGTATAAAGGACCTCAGTGGAGCAGAGGGCGACAAGCGCCATGCCCAGCGCAAGGTTGGGCGGGGGGTTGGTCTCAGAGGAAGCCCATAGTTGCTCTTGGAGTGTATCACAGGGGGGCTGAATACTAGGGAATAAATACCCTGTGCTCTCCCAAGCACATGTGAGGGACAGCAATGGTATCAGCTCCGAGCCCCTGGGGCTCCGTGCTGAGGTGCAGGCTGCTGGGAGGGTCCAGCACGGCAGGACAGCGGAAAGACCAGCCACTGGGGAGGGAGCAGGATTTGAACCCATGAGCCTAGGGCACACCAGCTCCTGCTCTTACACAGCCTCCCCTTCCCCCGGGAGGCAACCCCCCATGCACCAGGGCCTGGAGACGGATCCAGGGGTGATTTGCCGGGTCCAGGGGTGACCCTTTGCAGGAGTCCCCCCACCCTATTTCGCCCCCCAAGGCTGAGAGCAGCCTCCTGGCTCCTTCCAGCCATACCGCATTCCTTGGAAGAGAAGGCACCTTCACAATCGAGGTGCACCCAACCCCTCTGACTCTCAGTGCCAGCAGGGAAGAATGGGCCAAGCACAAGTGCGCTGACCCGGGCCGAGCCTCTGTGGCACATCAGAAGAGCTTTCTACTGGCTTCTGAGCTCCAGTTTTACACAGAAAGTGTCCTGGGCATCAGCCACTGCACCTTCTATTCACCGCAATACGGTAATTGAAAACTACAGTGGGACCAAGCAAGATGCCCTGCAAACTGGGGGGTGCCCCCCACCAAACATCTTAACCCTCTCAGCACTGGGAACTCAGCCTGAGCCTGGCCAAGGAGACCTTCCGTTAGCATGAGCAAGGCCAACGCTACTTACCCTGGCGCCGGGCAGGCCAGGCTCTCCGGGACGGCCAGGGTCACCATTAGCTCCCTTGGGTCCGGCCAGGCCGGCGGGGCCGCGCTCGCCTGGGGCACCCTATCCAGGGGTGGAAGGAAGCGCTGGTTAGCTTGGTGGGGGCTGGGCCATGATCCAGCCCCACTGACTCCCAGTCCCAAGCTGAGATGGCCACTGGGCTGGTGTGACTAAGGCACCAGTGGCTGGGTGTGGGGGCATAGTGCCAGCCTGGCATCCCACCCTCTGGCCTCCCATGGCTGGGTTGACTGGGGACAGCCTTGGCCTGAGCCATGGAGGAGGCTCGCACTCAACCCTGGCTTCCTTCCAAAGGACAGACCCGTGGTGGGCATAGCCGGGGGGTCCGAGTCCATCAATACAGCCCCAGTGTCATGTGTTGGGATAAACCCCCATGAAGAGCCTCGCTGGGCCCCAGTGGCCCTTGAGCTGGCCTGCTCCAGCCCCCATCACTGGCCCACAATGGGGATAACTGGTATTGCTGGGCCTGGCTCCACTGCAGCAGCCGTGGCTCTTTTTGGGACGGAGGCTGTAGCCAACCACCCCCTCCCCACCGACCCCGAAAACAAGGCAGGCTGCAAAAGGGAACATGCTAGGGCAGCCGCATGGTGATGCCAAACCCAGAGCAAGGCATGCTTGGAAAGATGGGGACTCTGGAAGCGGTGCCTGGGGGCTGAGGGAGGGTAGAGTGGGGCTGGGGGCATCACTGCTCTATATCGGGGCCACTTTGACGTGGTTCTGGAGACAGACACCTCTGGGGGCGGCATTTGGGGGGATGGGACCGAACCCCCAGGCTGGGTCTGGAGCCATCTCCATTGCCCCCTTTCCTCCGCAGCTTCCCCCAGCCCACACCCAGCCTCCGTGCGCTGCTCCAGACCAGTCGCTCCACTCACCTTGGGTCCAGCGAGACCATCCTGACCGGGGAAACCACGGTTTCCAGGGGCACCCTGGGGAGGAGAGAAGGACCGGGGTCAGGGGGACATCCAGGCCATGGGGCCAAGGTGGGATCTCCCCCATCCCAGCCCATGTCTCGGGGCGCTCTGTGACAGCTGAAGTCACGCGGCTGCAGCTTGCACAGTTGTGGTCATCACACCAAGCCAGCCAGGACCCCGTGCTGCTAAGAGCTGCAGGGCTTGTGCCATATGGGGACAGTAGCTATCACATGGGGTGACCCCGGGGGGAGGAACCACCGTCACTTACTCTCTCTCCAGGTGGCCCGTGGGGTCCAGCAGCACCCGGTTCACCGCGGGCACCTCTCTTGCCTTCCTCGCCAGCTGGGCCGGGAGCTCCCTGGGGTCCCGCGGGGCCCTGAAGGGAGACACGGGGGAGAACAAACATTAGGTCGATCCACCCCCTCATCCCACCCCTGCCTCCCTGGTGAGCAGGGTACTGCCTGGGAGCCAGGAAACCCAGGCTGTGCCCTGTGGCAGTGGTGCCTCAGTGTCCCTGCCAGCTCCCAGCCATCGCCCTGAGAGGCTCTGAGCCCGGCCCGTGCCATTGAGGCTGGGTAATGAGGCGATGGGGGCATGCTCTTGACAGGGTGAAGCGGGAGGCTGGGTGGAAGGCAACAGAGGGGCTATTGTTTCCCACCCCCCAGTGCAGCCCGGGGCCATGCGGGCTGCCAGGAGAGGGGCTCGGCAGGGAAACAGGCTCGTTAGCTGCTGCAAAGAGGCTCTTGCTGTCCTGGGAAGGCCCCATCCTGGGCAAGGAATCATGGGGTTCCAGGCTGCAGCTGGGACTCAGGACACCTGGGGGTCCCTGCAAGCGCCTTGCTCCTTGCAGCCTGGGCAGGGTCCAGCTGTGGGGTCAGCGCAGCCTGCGTGTGAGCTGCCCTCCGCTCCCCATCAGCCCGGGGGAGGCCTCGGTGCCCGGGTATCAAGGAGCAACCTGGGCCGTCTGGGAACGGGACCTGGCACAGATGAGCAGAGGGCCCCGGCTGGGCTCGGCTACTCACCGTTTCGCCTTTGGGGCCGTGTTCGCCCTTGAAGCCCGCGATGCCAGGTTCACCCTGCGAAGCAAGAGAAAACACTCAGTGCCCCTGAACCCTCGCCCATCGCCCCCGGGGATGGCGCCGGCACATCCGGGAGCCATGGACAGAGGAGCAGTTGTCCCTGGGAGAGGGGCAGTGGCACACGCGGGGCATGGGGGGCCGTGACCACAGCCAGGGATGGGTGGCATGGACCACTGGGCAAAGCCAGGAGCCAGGGTTGTTGGGCGGAGTCTATGGCAAGGGGGCGGAGCCAGGGAAGGTTAAGTGGAGTCTTCAACAAAGGGGTGGAGCTAGTGGGCTGTTGAGCAGATCCTTTGGCAAGGGGGTGGAGCCAGTGGGCTGCTGGGCGGAGTCTGTAGCACAGAAGGAGTTGGAGGTAGTTGGGTGGAGTCTTTGGCAAGAGGAGGTGGAGCCATTGGGCTGTGGGGCGGAGTCTGTGATGAGGGGAGGAGCTAGGAGGGGGATCTGCAGCAAGGAGGCGGAGTCAGTGGACTGCTGGGTGGAGTCTGTGATAAGGGGAGGAGCTGGGGCTACTGGGCGGAGCCATCTGTCCAGGAGCCTGGCTGCCCCGTTCTTACCGTCTGACCTTTGGGACCCAGAGGTCCTGTAGCTCCTTGAGGCCCGGGAGGCCCGCGGGGTCCAGGGAAGCCAGGGGCACCAGCGATCCCGGGAGCGCCCTGCCGGCGGCACAGGGAGAGGAGAGTTAGGAGCCAGGAGGGTTTTGCTCTGTCCTCCACCGCGTACACTCTGCCACCAGGTCCCCCATCTCCGTGTGCCCATGTCCCCTGGGCAGAGAGGGACCCCCCCACAACCACCTGAGCCCAGAGACTGCCACCCTCTTCCCTGCTCCCTGCATCCCCCAACCCCCAGATCCTGCCCCCCGGCCGTTGCGGCCCAGGCGTACTCACAGCCGATCCTTTCGCTCCGGGGATGCCGTCGGTCCCAGGGTTCCCCTGAAAGCAAAGAGCAGGTCAGGGAGCAGCTCTGGGGAAGCCGTGCCCATGGAGAAGGTGCGGAGCAGGGGCCGGCTGGGTCTCGGGGAGCTGACCCATGCCTCAGTTTCCCCACCAGTGGAGTGAGATACGTGAGGAGGGGCAGGGGAGGGGGGCAGGTTACTTACGGGGGCTCCAGAAGGTCCAGGAGAGCCGGGGGTGCCAGATTCTCCCCGGGGGCCCTGGCCACCCTCGGGACCACGAGCACCAGTGGGGCCAGCTTCACCCTGCAGCGGAGAAGGGAGGAGAAGGTCAGAGCCCCATGGGAAGCCCTGGCAAGTGACACGACGAATGGAGCTGGGGCACGGCCTTGTGGGACGAGTCCCCAGGAAGCCTCCGCCACTGCCCAGCCGGCTGTCCTTGGGCATGCCCCCCGGCCTGCTCCGTGCCTCAGTTTCCCCTCCCGCCCCTAGCCTGTTAGCTGCTCACCGTGTGTAGCACTGAGAAGAGACAGGCCCTGTGAACCATCACCTCCACCCCCGGGTCTCTGGGCATTGTCCAGGCCTTTGGGGACCCCTGCCCCCCACCCACTCTCAGGGGTCTCCCCCACTCCTAACGTAGTCGCTGGTCATTAACAAAGTCTCACTGATCTTCCCCCTACCCCCACCCCAGCCCGTGGCAACTGGGCTGGGTGGGGCGGAGGGGCCTGGAGCTGGGAGAACAACCCTCTGGCCGCCCCCGTCCCAGCCTGGCCAGCCCAATCTAAGGCCTGGCCGCATGGGAGGGGATGGAGCTGGGGGCTACTCCTTCCCCTCTCTGCATGGGGGCACTGCGGCCTGATCCAGCCTAGCTTAGTGCTGCTCCCCATACAGGGGCCCCCCATGGACCCACGGGGCTGAGGCCACATGAAGCGGGGGCTGGCTCAGACCCTGCCCTACCTCCCACCTCCCCATCTCCTTCCTTCCTGCTCTTCCTTTCCCCCATCATGTGGCTTCTGCCACTGCCCACCAAGCTGTCCTTGGGCACGCCCCCCGACCCGCTCCATGCCTCAGTTTCCCCTCCCGCCCTCAGCCCGTGAGCTCCTCATTGTGTCTAGCACTGAGAACAGAGAGAGCGCCGGCATTTTCCCCACTCCAGCTTTTGCTTTCCCTGCTTTCTCTCTCTCTGTCTCTCCTCCACCTTTGCTTGTGGCCCTTGCGGCAGGCGATGTTGAGAACAGGCCTGAGTGCTCAGACCTTTTGCTGGAGGAGCGGAGTGCTCTGCGAGGGGTGCAGAGAGCAAGGCGGGAGGAACTGGTACCTACCTTAGAGCCGGGGGCGCCTGGGAAACCTGGACCTCCAGATGGGCCGACAGGTCCCTGGGGGAGAAAAAAAATGCCATGAGGACCCTCCTAGGAAAAAGAGCCTGGGATCGGGACTGGTTCTGGGGTGAGATGGCTGGACCGGAGGTCTCACAACCCAGAGGGGGGTCAGACAAGGAGTGCCCCAAAAAAGCCCAGAGGTGGGAACCACTGGCCCTTTTGCACTTTAAGGAGCCACGCAGAACACAGTGAGTGCCGTTAAAGGACTTGTAGATTATGTAAAGATATACCGTACTACCCAGTTATTGCCCATTGCTGCTCCTGGATGTTATGGGGGGGGGGCAAATTGCCTGAGGCAAGGAGGAGCATTTAGTTCTGTGTTTGTCCAGCACCTAGCACCTAGTCCCGAGGAGCTGTCTGGGGGCACTGCCACAACAGACCGCCTTAAAGGGTGCCCCTGCACTTAGCAGTGGATGAAGAGGACCTGGGGTGTGGGGTTGGATAGTTGTAAGCTGCTTTAAGCATTTCTCACCCCCTCAAATACAGGCCGTGACCTGGGGCTCAGTCAAATCACCTGGGAACAGACCCATTGGAAAGGAAGAAAGCGAGATGTTTCAGGGGGAAAGCAAAGTCTACTCACAGGGGGGCCGGCGGGGCCGGGGAGGCCGTCGTTGCCACGAGCACCCTGCAAAAGGAGACAGCGGACATCAGCAAACAACCACCCATCCAGGAGTGATCCAGGCTAACCGGCACCGTCGCCTAGTGGGTGGAGCACCAGCCTGGGACACCTGGGTCCTCTTCCCAGCTCCGCTGCTGACCTCCGGGGTGGCTTAGGGCAGGCCAGTCCACATCCCGCCTTTCTCCTAGGGGCAGCGTGCATTTGTGCAGCACCTAGTGCGGTGAGGGCCTGGATCTGAGCCAGGCTGTCCCAGTGCTAGCACAAGGCAAGTCAGAGGCGGGGAAAGCAGAGGAAGGGAACCAGTGCAACGCCCTGCCGGCTGCCGGATTCAGGGCAGTACAGCGCTCCTGGCACACCTGGCTGCAGCCGCTCGGGGGCACTGCACGGACTCAGGCCGGCAAAACAATGGACCAGCCCAGCCAATGGGACCGAGAACCCCCCGCGGCGTAAAGCAGGAGTAAGATTTGCCTGGGGGCACCCGGACCCTGCCTTACACCTCTCAGAAATCTCTCCGGCTCTACTCCACCACATAAGAGATGAGTACTTGGCCCAGAGGGAGATCTCTAATAGGGCTGTGAATAGGCAAGGCGCTGGTAAGAGAGCAGGGAACTGAGGGCAGATTTCCCTGGGGGACAGGACCTGGATGCATGGATATCCGAGGATGGCTGGAAGATCCCGGACTTGGCTTTCCATCAGCATAACAGGATCGGGCCCTGCAGCGTAGCTGCCCCAGCCTTGCCGGGTTCATCTCGTACAACAATCCTGCCCACGAGGAATTCATTACCCCGGGGAAGGCAGCAGAAGGGGCACGGGGGATGAAAGCCTGCCCTGCCGAGAAGTACATTATTAGACTTGGATCCGTGCTATCAGGCCCCAGAGCCAAGTCACAGGGAAACAACAGGAGCCCTGGCCAGACAAAGCCCTCTATTGTCAGCCGCATCCCGTTTTGGCTGAGCTGGGGCCGGGTTACAGAGCCAGGCGGCCGTCTCCTGTCGGGCTCTCTGCTGCAGCGACCAGAGGAGCGGAGCCCTGAACTGGCCCCTCTCAGCAATGAAAAACAGTCCTCCAAACCGAGGGAAGCGCCTTAAATATTGTGAGGGTTTTTTCACTCTACGTTCTGGGCTCGTATCATCTCTGCCGGGCGTATTCAGACTCCTCCCCGCAGCCCCCAGGCTTCCAACGGTGCCGCTATTTGAAGCACCAGGTCAGATTCGCATGTGTTCCCATGACTCCAGGACCTGGAGATTCACCAGTGTAAGATCCAGGAGGACGTCTCAAGGGCTGGAAGGACGGAGCGTGTTCGGCTAAAACCTGCCCTGCTTCTGCTTTGTCCAGGACGCCAAAAATCTCAGTCCAGCGTGAGGGCAATAAAACAGTGGGGGGGCAACCTTTTTGGCAGGTGTGCCACCAATTCAGCCCCGTGCCCTCCAAATGCCACTCTGAGCCTGCCTGAGCTGCTGTTCTGCTTTCTCCTCCCTGCTCTGTGTCCCCCAGCTGATCTGCTGCTCTGTTCTCAGCTCTCTGCCTTGGGCTCCCTGTCCAGTCTGCTGCTCTGGAACTTGTTTGGCTCAGCAACACCCAGAGCATCTGCACTTAGAGCATTGCACAGATTGTAAAAGCTTTCCAATGCAACACCTGGAACAGCTGTACCTACAGCTTCACCAGGCAATGCCTAACACCTTTTACCTGCAGCTTTCCAATGCAACCCTGGGAATGGCCACACCTACAGCTTCACCAAGCAACACCAAACGCATTGTGCATACAGCTTTCCAGTGCAACACCCCCAACTCCTGTAATTACAGCTCCACCAAGCAATGCTGAATGCCTTATACCTACAGCTTTCCAATGCAACCCTGGGAATGGCCGTACCTACAGCTTCACCAAGCAACACCAAACGCATTGTGCATACAGCTTTCCAGTGCAACACCCCCAACTCCTGTAATTACAGCTCCACCAAGCAATGCTGAATGCCTTATACCTACAGCTTTCCAATGCAACCCTGGGAATGGCCGTACCTACAGCTTCACCAAGCAACACCAAACGCATTGTGCATACAGCTTTCCAGTGCAACACCCCCAACTCCTGTAATTACAGCTCCACCAAGCAATGCTGAATGCCTTATACCTACAGCTTTCCAATGCAACCCTGGGAATGGCCGTACCTACAGCTTCACCAAGCAATGCCGAGCGCCTTGTGCTTACAGCTTTCCAGTGCAACACCCCCAACACCTGTACCTACAACTTCACCAAGCAATGCCGAACGCCTTGTACCTACAGCTTTCCAATGCAGCACCGGGAATGGCTGCACCTACAGTGTCACGAAGCATGAAATCTCCTCCAATGGACGGTGCCTACAAATTGTTTCACTTGCAATAGGGCTGTAAGGGCAGGGGGAAAGTACCCTCACTGTTATCAGCCAAGCAGGAAGTGCCCCACGTGGTACAATACACCTGAGACCCCCAGGGCAGCCCCTGCCTAGTGCCAGGGCTGTGAGCACTGACCTCCCTTGGTGAGGTGGCCAGAAGGGAGCCAGCAGGGGATATGCCAGGGTAAGTCACAGCACTTGGGAGGGCCCTGGAGAGCCCGGCAGCAGCAAAGCAGGATCTCCAACAGATGTCTGTATGTGCGCTGGGAATTCGGATGGAGCCTGAGTGATTTAGGAGCTCCACCCCAATGGATTTCATAGGACCTGGCTGCTCAGTTTCCTGAGGGCCACAGGAGCAGGCCAGCACATGGGGCCCTGCCATCAGGCTCTCAGCCCTAGAGCCATGCGAGGGGCTTGCCCCAAATCCTGCCCCCTCAGCTGACCCCTGCAGCACGGCCCCCATCCCATCCTCCTGCCGGAGCCCGGTGCTGGTTTCAGCAGTTCCATGTGTCATCTGCGGGGCTGAATGCTGAACTGACCTGCACATCTGCTGCCCGACGCGTGTCCCTGCACCTGCTCTAAGCCCCTGGGGGCCGTGGCTCCTAAACCACCTAGGCACTCAACGCTTCATCCACGAGCATCTACTTCCCACCAGCTTGGGTCCCAAACTCCCGCCGAGAGACCTGAAAATGGAGCTCTGGGCTCCTAAGTCACTCAGGTGCATCTGCCACTGTCACCCTACAGCACGCGGCATCCACAAGGTGCAAAGCTTGTGGCCAAGGTGCTCCTGGAGCACAAACCCACCCTGAACAAAGCCAGTCCCTCGGCTCCCTTCCCCTTGGGGAGCTGGGAATGTTTCCTGGGGTCTCACCAGGGTGACCAACTGGAGGTGGGGCTTGTCTGAATAATTAACAGAGGGTCCAGGACTTAACGAGGAACCTTCCAAAGGCAGAGAATGGTTTTCAGCGGCTCTCACACCTCCAAATCACTTAGGTCTGAACAGCCAGCTCCCAAAAAAATCACTTTGCAAATGTTCAGGGGTTTGTGGGGAAGAAAGAAATCTCCCCGGCGTTAATTGGGGGGGGGGGGGGGGTAATTACTCTGGCGGCAAAGAAC